TAATGTTACAGAAACTGTATAATTTTTAAAGGGAGCTATCTAACTGTTAGAAAACTCAAATTCTATTTTTTTTTTTTTTTCAAAGAATAGTCATCTAGTGTTTCTTAGGTGTTAACCAAAATTCCAAATTCAAAAAAAATCCTCCCAACTAAGTCATTAACCGAGGGAGTAGAAGTCGACCGTGCTTCCTTGGGAGCACAATATACGTGTTTTGCAGTCAAATATGACGATATATGAGTGATTTGAAAGCATACCTAATATAAGGCAATATGGTTAGATTGCACATCTAATCACATGTTCTTCTCTAAATGCAGATGCATTTCATTGGCCTTTTCAACTGCTGGGACGGTAAGTAACAATTCTCACTTCTGGAAAATACACGAATGGCATCAATCGTATGTGGTGTACATATATAATAAAAGGAAAAGATTTCTATACTTCCACTATAGCATAGAATGGAAGCTATATATTTTTCCCCATCTAGGTGTCCAAATTTAGTTTAAGTGAGCCACTGATCATTTGATCTTGATTCGACGAGTTAAAATATTGTATTATTAGTCTTTTCCAACAAATTATATGAATATGAAATTTGGTACATTCCATAACCTCATCGGAGCACACCTAAAAAAATATTTGAAAGAATATTGCGATAAAATATAATAACCAAAATACCTTTTGAAACTATCAGGGTATTTTGATCATTTTATTTTATTGAGAATTTTTTTAATATATTTTTTACGTGTAAGAGTTTAAGAGAGGTGTGGACATTTAAAATTTGGTGTCAAAATAGTCTGAAAAAAAATTAAAAATAAAATAGTGTGGAGACATGATGTTGTAATTGGGGCCACCTCAATCCTCCATTCAAAATGGACGGTTGGATAGGGGGAAGTATAGAAATTTTATGTACTAGAAAAGGCATAGAAAACTTACCCATAATAAAAATAGAAAGAATACCATACACCACGCATGACATTCATCTTCCTTTTCCAAAGGACAATGAAAATCATTATGTTCGTTCTTTTTTGTTTTTTTTTTGTTTTTTTGCTTTTTTGTTTTTTTACAACAAGACTAAATTTTATTAATCAAAGAAAGATCTACAACACAATCAACAACGAATTAGCTCTTCGGTAGAAATAACATAATTCGTTTGTGCCCCATGTTTCACGAGACTATCAGGAATGCTATTTGCTTCCCGAAATACATGATGGCATAAGGCTATCAACCCGTGACAAAATATCCATCACCTCAGCCCATATATGCAATAATCTCCACGGCGGCTTACTTATCTTTTAACACCAATTTATAACATTTTGAGAATTAACTTCAATAAAACAAAAAACCCCATGAATTTCTGTTTTATAATTTTTAACCAACGTAACAGACATCGAAATTCCGCCTCATTGTTTGTTGGAACTCCACACATGCTGGAAGAACACAAAACAACTCCCAATAAATTTCTTATCACATCTCCAACCTCGCTACTCCTGGATTTTTGAAGGAGCCCACATCAAAATTCAGTTTGATAGTTCCCCCCCATTGGAGGATTCCACCTTCCCTTTGCCCTCAAACCTATGAGACATTAAAAACAATATTATTCAAATTGGTCCAAATATCCACCTTCGAAATACCGTCTCCTTCTTTGGTATCTAAAAACCAGCTCCAAAGATCATGTAATATTTGAATACAAAACTTTTCTACCCCCAATAGTACACCTCAAATGACCTCGTATTTCTCTCTTTCCAAATTTCCCAAAGTACAACCACTCTATAAATCATCTACACTACTTATCCATAACATGGCAAATTCGGCAACTCTAATTGCATCACAATATCGGGGTGACTCCTAGGCAAAACAAAACTATATGAATCCCCATCAACCGAAAAGCCCAGTCCCACATAACTCTAGTAAAAGGGCAATGCAAAAATAGGTGAACACAATTCTCCTCATTTTCTTTGCAAAGAATACAAGCATTCACCAAAATCTTCTCTCTTTTGCAAATTGTCAATAGTGAGGGTTTTACCTTAAAGAATAATCTATATAAATCCTTGTATTTTATGTGGTATTGGAAACTTCTTGACCTTATTCAAAGAATATTGAATTTGTCTAAATCTGTCATGATAGAGCAATCTATCGGCTAATTTCACTGTTAAAAGCCCATCATTCTCCAATTCCCAAGCAATCGAATTTAGCTCTAAAGTTAACGTTGACCATTGTTGGAACGCTAGATTTGGCACCCTATTATACAAAAGTTGCACATTCCAATACCTCTAGTAGCCCAAAAGAAATCTTTTGGCAATCCATTTACCAAAAATGAAAAATGAGCAGTAGATAGGCAACCCCAAATCTATCTTCTCCACTTGATACCAAATCCCATATACCTCATAGCCTCCATTAAAACTTGTCACTCTATCCTATCGTATGTCTTCTCTATATCAAGTTTCACAAGAACCCCTGATTCACCCTCCAAGACTCTCGAATGTATGCATTCTTTCACCACCAAAATACTGTCCGTGATTATTCCATCATACACGAAGGCTAGCTGAGGCCCTTGAATGATCAGAGGTAGAACCACCTTCACCCACTCAGCTAAAACTTCCGCTACAATCTTATAAAAACTGCAGAGTAGACTGATTGGCCTAACATCAACAATGGTTGCTATAACCTCCTTCTTTGGAATCAAAGCTAAAAATGTAGAGTTAATACCTTCATCCATAACTCCTCGCTCCAAAAACTCAACAACTATGGCATGCAAATCAAATTTAATTAGGTCCCAAAACATTTGGAGAAAGGTGAGGGAAAACCATCTGGCTCCGGAGACTTACCTCCAGGTAGCGCAAAGACAACATTCCTTAATTTCTTGATTGACACTCGACCCTTCAGCTAAAAAGCACTAAAGTTCGACAGTTTATTGAAAGGAATCTCTTCCATATTTATTTCAAAAGACGGCTCAGAAGTGAAAATGCCTTGAAAGTGTCTAACAAACTCCTGCTCCCAGCCTTCAACAGCTTCCTCCCTTACTTATGTTATGAAATTTGATCGCTGAAATGTTATTTTTCCTATGTTGTCACTGGCAATGGAATGGAAAAAACATGTATTCAGATGACCTACTTTCAACCATTCTTGTTGCTTCCAACATATCTCTTCCATTTTTAACAACTCATGCATCGTATGGTGTAGTTTTCTCCTTACAATGGAGATCATCATGCCGGTTTACATCAACGAATATCATCAGTCATCTTTCACTATAATGCATTAGTGGGAAGAGGATGTTGGATGTCGTGGTGGTGTACAATGCATAGGAAAGTGTATGTGAGACTTTTCGTTTCACGAATTTAGCAAGAACTTACTTGTCCTATAGATTGCATATATTATATGAGAACAAAAAAAAGTTAGTTTGTTTAAGCTTTTTTAACAAATTTTAAGGATTTGAACATCTAAATGAGATTAAAAATGCAGTAAAACAATGGAGTTTGAAAAAATCAATTTGTGATGGGGGCATTTTAAAAATAATCCAAAAAGAAGGGAAAATCCAAAAATAATTATTCATGGCCAGAACACATTCCAATATTTGCCAAAATGATAGAGAACATAAAAAAAAAAGAGCATACTACAAATAAATTTCTTATCCTTGGGATTTTTAATAGTATTTTAAGATCCCCTGTTAGAATTCGTGGAAGCATATGGGAGAGAAGAAGAGTGAACACAACATTTACGTGGTTCAGGCCGAAGCCTTATGTCCATAGATCCAAAGCTCCAACCGGCTGCATCTTTACTATTTTGGATGAATGTTTACATTAATAAATACCTCTATATATAAAGGACAATCACACACTTACAAGAGATAAATATGGTATAATTCTTGGAGGTAGAGGTAAATAGTAGGAGGCCTTATCACTAAACTAACTTGATGACCAAGTAACTTTGACTTGATCTCTTCTTATCTTCTAGATACCTAATCTTATCAGGAGATATATACCCAAACATCCGTAATGATGTATATTAATATGAACCCGAGATATCCATATCCTAATACTCTCCCTCAAACTCAAGATGGTTTGACATAAAGCTGCTGAAGTTTGAACATACTAAGTTGCTAAAAAAAAAAAAATTCACAGGTTACCATGGTCTTTCAAGAAACAACCTTTCTTGGGCTATCTACTTTCTTTTAGAGACTTTATCTCTCTAGGGTCTTTCAAGAAACAACATTTCTTGGGCTTTCTACTTTCTTCTAGAGTCTTCTCTCTCTAGGGTTTTCTTCTCTGAAGATCTTCTCGTAGAGGTTTCTTTTCTTTCTAGAGACTTTCTCTTTCTAAAGAAAATGATCTTTCTTTCTCTCTTCTTCTTCTTCTCTCTCTCTTTTTTTTTAGAGCAATTTCAAAACCAATAATCTTTTGATTAGCCCATACCTCCTCAAAAACCTCTTTTGATTAGCCCATACCTCCTCAAAAACCTTAGTCGAAGCAAGATACCTCATCCATATAGGCCCAACCAAGCCACAGACCAATGGGCTCACACCGAAGAGAAACTTTGTGAATAGGATATAATAAGCCGGAATATGATAGAATAAGCCGTGGATGATCTTCTGCTTTGATTAGCTGAAATATGAGAGAAACTGGGCTTTCTATTGGGGAGCGAGTGAATGGAAGCTCGATGATGGCTGCACCTTAGCCGATCCCAAAGGAGTCGACCCTTCACCTTATCCTCCGATTAAGGGAAGGCATGTAGATTGGCTCCGTGACATAATCATAGATAATGTCCCTTACTAGAGTAGGGATTAAAAAAAAAGAAAGATGCTTAGTGCAAAATAAGGGAGTGGCAAGTAGGACAAACCTTTCAGTGCCGATGTAGATGCTTGATGGCATGGCAATTCAGGGCCTTTCAACAAACAAGAACCTACGAAGAACAGATTGTTGATCAAGGCCACAGAACAACTATTAACGCTCGGTAGCGGTGTAGATTTTCCAAAGACACGTCCATTGGTAAAGGGTATTGAAATTTTCGGAATGAATATGAGGTAACCACTCGACAACATCAGAGAGGGAGCCATAACTGTTAGACAGAGAGTCGCATTTAGAGAGGGTGCCACAATTGTTAGACAGAGAATCGCAATCAGATTGAGAGCGTCACCGATCAGAGAAACTGGACGCAAAGGCTTGATGAACCACGTTATCATACGATGTTAGAATTCGTGGGAGCATAGGGGAGAGAAGAAGAGAGAACACAACATTTACGTGGTTTAGGTTAAATCTTTACGTCCACAGATCCAAACCCCAACCGGCTACATCTCATTATTTTGGATGAATGTTTACATCAATAAGTACGTCTTCATATAGAGGACAATCACACAATTACAAGAGATAAATACGATATAATTCTTGGCGATAGATGTAAATAGTAGGAGGCCTTATCACCAACTAACTTGATGACCAAGTAATTTTGACTTGATCTCTTCTTATCTTCTAGATACCTAATCTTATCAATAGATATATACATACCTATACATCCATAATGATGTATATCAATATGAACCCGAGATATCCATATCCTAACATCCCTGAGTGGGACCACCCAACTTGGGGATACTTGGGTTTGCCAAGGTGTAATTCAAGTCTGAGATAGCTCGCCCGAGTAGTCAAACACTGGGTTTGGTCGCATTATTAAGGAGAAGATTGGGGTTATCAGTTTGTATGTTTGGCTAAGCACACACCTTTCTACAACCCATAGTGCTCACCTAGAATGTGTTTTTTTTTCCCCTTTGGGTTATCTTGTCAAGAAGTACCTCCACCTAGTGCTGAGACGTATTTATTGCACATAGGCGAGATCAAAGCTTTGCACTTAAAGTTTGTCCTAAAAAGACAAGGAAAATGTAAGGTTTCTCCTAAATCAAGTATTACAAAACACTGGGGCACCAACTGATGAGAGAGGACTAAGTCGGCTAAGATTCCCTCAGAATATAGCCTCTTTAATTTGCTGTTTTGTTTATGAAACCCCCCCACCCTTTCATTGTCAATCTTTCTCCTTCACTTCTTTTACCATAAATAATACAACTAGCATTGAAGCTTTTGTCATTAAGCTCTCTTTCCTATCTATACAACTATTTTTATCAAAAACCCAAATTGAAAAATAAGAAAAAAGTTTTTTCTAACCGGAATAAAAAATCTTTGATTTCTCTCTCATTCTTTCACTAATATGTCTATGATGTCCCAATCACATTGCTTACAAAATCTTTTAACAAAGTTTTTGAATAAAAAAGAAAAATATCTAAGATTGATTTTGGGTGTTTCCCCATTTTCATCAATTCTCTTTTGTTTTTTATCTATTTTCTGTCATGAAAACACGATCATTTTGAAACTACTTTTTGTACTTGTAGATCCTATTAAATGAAATCAAAAGATGAAATTTTTTTCCCCATTTTGTGGTCTATTTCTTAATCTAATTTAAATTTCTTCCATTGCTTTGAGTTAAAAATACTATTTGGAAATTATTTTTTCATTCTCTTAATTTCATTTTCTTTTTCTTTTTTTGCCATTTTTCATCACCTTAAATTTTCTCTCTGTATTTAATATTTTGGTTTTTAATAGTTGATAACTGATTTGACTCTGAGTCGGCGCTGATCCAAGAACCACTAGCTAAATTATTCAAACCACCAATGTATGTTTGTAAACACAACACGAAGTAATGAAAAAGAATACTGCAATTGCGTTACCAAAATTTTGGTAGATGTTCCTCAAATATTCGATGTTGATGTTGGACTGTTGCGAAACGTCAAATATTTGATGTCAAGGTTCGACGGGTGCAAAATGCCTTATTTCTTTGGAAGTCCAAATCGACAGGCTTTGGGTAGAAAAAATGTTGGGTTGTATGCTATAAGGCTATTTACTTTTAGTATAAGGAGGTCACCATTTTTAGATCCAAAAAAATTAAAACGAGTAGCTTGGGATGCATTAAACAAGATTTTCAATCTGCCCTTGTTTGTTTCTTCTTTATGTTTCTTCCGGCTCTTATTCTTTTATTTGTTACTAATCTATCAGAATATCGGCGCACAAAGTGTACCCAAGCTTACATATTCACTGAGAAGCCTAAGAATGCAAAACTGATTGTGGTGGCCTTCCGAGGAACTGAGCCCTTCGATGTCGACGATTGGTGCACCGATTTAGATCTCTCCTTTGCATCCATGGGTGCAATTGGAAGAGCGCATATTGGATTTTTGAAAGCGTTGGGCCTTCGGGATGAATACGACCTTGAAAAGGGGTGGCCGAAAAATGATGAACGAAGTGATAAAAATGAACACCCTTATGCCTACTACACCATCAGAGAGAAGCTCAAAGAGCTCCTCAAGGATAATCCGAATGCAAAGTTTATAATTACAGGGCACAGTTTGGGTGGTGCTCTTGCTGTTCTTTTCACCACTCTGTTACTCATGCATGAGGAGAATGAATTGATGAGCAAACTTATGGGCATTTTTACTTTTGGCCAACCTAGAGTTGGCGATGGCAATCTGTCCAGTTTCATGGAAAGGAATTTGAATCAGCTTTCTAAGAGGTATTACAGAATGGTATACCGATACGATTTGGTTCCAAGAATTCCATTTGATGACCCCATTTCGAAGTTCAAGCATTGTGGCCTGTGCCTCTACTACAGGGGCTGGTATAAAGGAGATGTAAGTTTCTCTTCCCTTCTACTACTGATCTCCCCTCTTGTTTTCTCTTTTCATGAAATCTCTTTGATTTCCATCTTAACATTCCTAGTACTGTTTCATTTGTTTTCAATAAAGCTGACTTGCTTGTTTGAAGCAGTTGATTGGGGACCAGCCAAACAAGAACTATTTCGACCTAAACTATTTCTTACCCCATTACTATAATTCATGGGCCGACCTGTTACAGAGCAGGAGATTAGGCGAAGATTACAAAGAAAGTCAGACTTCTACAATGTGTCGGATGTTTGGGCTTCTAATCCCAGGAATAGCATCCCACAGCCCCAAGGACTATGTTAACTCTGCAAGGTTGGCTACACTTGCTGATGCAAAATTGTACTAAATTAAATTTTATCTCAAAGGGAATCTAGAACAAGTTTGGATATCCATGATAGGATGGATTTGATTTCGACATTTTCTTCGACCCAATACTTTAAATTTCATTACCGATAAAAAAAATTCAAAATGTACTTATTGACAAGTAGTTGCATCCATTACCTCAACCATTCATGATCTGCTCTCCTATTCACAGGGCCATGACTCTTCCTCTCAAAGGAAAGTCTGTAAAATGTTTCTTAATTGATTTATTACAAAAATAAAATAGAAGTTATAACATTCATTAATAGTGTGTTCAGTGATAGTAAATATCAGACTATCCAAACTGGGCCTATCTAAATCACATGATTGTTGGATGTGTGTTATATGGTATGCTCACATCCACATAATCTTGATTATTGATATACTTGGGTATAATCCGCTTCCTCTAACCATCTTCACAATGGAAGAGAAGATTTCTAATGCTCTAGTATTTGCCATGCGTTCATTGTGCATGATGTACATCCCTTTTACTTAGATTTCCCATCAAACCAAAAACAAGACACGCCCCTAAGCAAGAAACTTTAGAGGATCAGAAGTTTAAAACAGGTAACAACAAAAAATAAACAAAAAGGAAAAAGAAACAAAACAGCTCGCGTTAATTTCTAATTGAACATGACAAGAATTGAATTTCGTACTTAAATAACGGATAGCTGTCTTTTCACCCACTATGAAAGAAATATGTTCTCTACAATTCTTCCTTGGCCTGATTTCACTAGTCAGAGAATTTTATCAGCAAATATTCCAACATTTAAAACACACTTTTTTTTTTTTGTCTTAATTCGTTGAATGGTGAGAGAAATTAGTTGTTGAATGATGAATTATTTGTCCAACAGATAATTGAAACCAAGACAATTGAAATTTGGTAAATCTCGGCAAAATCTTTATCACATGGTTAAAACAAAATCAATCAAGATCAAAATATTAAGACTTTCATACAAGGTTTAGGCCCCTCAACTTATTTGAAGGCACTTAACCTTGAAATTTGAGGTTGAGGGTTCAAACCCAGCTTGATTCCCAAAAAGGAAAGCGAGAAAATAATTAAAAAATTGGAGAAATCTTAAGTGGCCGATGAATATGATTCATTAAAGTACCAAAATATTGCATATTTTATTAATTTTAAAACTACGAGTGGAGATGGAGAGAAATTAGATACAAGTTGGGTACCAAGTGCAAAACAAGAAAATAAAAGATGGTAGGAAAGAAAATGATCATATAAGGAAGTTGAGCTGAAGCATAGATGAGCTGGACTAGACCTTGTGGACAGAGGACCATCTCCAAGACGATGATACGAGGAAGTACATAAGTAGAATAGGAGGAATATGATTGGAATTTGAAATAAGCTGCGTGCAAGAGGTATTCTAAATAAGCTTGATTTTGGTCAAGGTTATTTCGGGCATTTGAATTTAATTTAAGGGACATTTTGGAAAACTCATGTGAAGGGAAATTTTGGAATGTACTAAATTTTTGGGAAAATATCGTGGAGAACCCTAATTCTCCATTTTATTTCATCGTATACCCTCTTTTCATTTTTCTTTCAAGCGGCATAAATAAACCCTCAAATATTTCACCTAACTCCCTCATCCCCTATTTCCCCGTTTATTCACTTTTGGCAATAAAAATTTACCCCAACAAACTATTTTATTCCAATCTCAATCTTTTTTAACTCTCCTTTCTTGTTTTCATTTTCACTACGGTAATCTCTCTCTCTACACATCAAGGCACCAAGAAACCTTGATTTCTATACGAAGAACATACAAGAAAGCAGAGAAAAACAAGAAAGATCAAAATTGATACGGATCAGAGAGAGAGGAAGTGAAAAATAAGAACACAAATAATAGTGAGAGAGAGACAGTAAAAAATAGACAATGACCCAAGGGGTAGAGAGAGATTGATACGACAACAACACCAAAAAGTGGGAAGAACGGAGGTTTTGAAGACAGATAGAGAGTATCAGACGGTGAGAGCAATGGAGGTTTTGAAAGCAGGGGGAGAGAGAGACAGCGAGAGGAGAGAGAAAGAGAAAAACTTACTTGAGTGAGTAGATTTTGCCGAATGGAGAGAGAGAGAGAGGCCTTGCCATAATAGAAAGAGATATTACCGTAGTGAAAATGAAAACAGGGGAATGGATTAAAAATGATTTTGGATTGAGATGAAATAAAATAGTTTGGTGGGATCAATTCTTATGGCCAAAAGTGAATAAACGGGGGAAATAAGGGATGAGAGGGTTAGGTGAAATATTGAGGGTCTATTTAGGCCGCTTGAAAGAAAAATAGAAGAAGGGCTTACTGTGAAATAAAATGGCGAATTAGGGTTCTGTATGATATTTTCTCAATTAAAGTTATAATTCCAAGATTGAGAGAGAGGAGTCCTAAACATGCAATGCATGAAAATTTGAATTTGGTATGTGTGAAGTCTAGAATTTTCTTGTGTATTCTTGTAAATTCATCTAAGCAAATATGGTGTATGTTAAAAGAGAGAAAACTTCACTAGAAAGGTATAGAAAGAGCTTAAAAAGGTCCTAAGAGGTTTATATATTCATTTACTATGTATTTGTACTTTAAGGGTGCGTTTGTTTTTCTGAAAGATATCTTATGGAAAAAATGTTTTTAAATCCTTTAAAATGTTGAATGTTTTGTTCTAAAAGTTTTAAATAAGTTATGGATACTGTGTTTGATAACTATTGGATGTTAAGAATGTTCTTGG